CTCTCTCTCTCTCTCTCTCTCTCTCTCTCTCTCTCTCTCTCTCTCTCTCTCTCTCTCTCTCTCTCTCTCTCTCTCTCCTTCTACATCCACGTCTTCTTCCTCATACACAAAGACCACCACCACCCGCTGACTGTGTCCGAGCCCCAGCCTGGCTATGAAGGCTGGGCTATGGCATTGCCCTGTATCCTCTCGACGCCCGCTCGTGCCCGCACCTCGTGCTAGTGCCCTGTATCCTCTCCACGCCCGCGCGTGCCTGCACCTCGTGCTAGTGCAGCAAGCAGCCCGCGAGTCTACGCTCCAGCAGCGCTTCCGCCCGCAAGTGCAAGTCCCCGTATGCTTCCCCTGGCGCCTGACACTTTCCTATATCGAAAGTGTTGGGCGCATGGTCTGCCCTTCTCAGACGGGACCGAGTTTCCACTAGCTTCACTCTCGGCCAAAGTGTCGGTGCCCAGGCCCGTTCAGACAGTTGCCTGGGACCGAATTGGTTAGGTATGCCCAACCACCCACGCACAAACATGTGGTGTTCCCTGCTTCGACCAAGTTGCTGGAAGAGCCTTCTCACGAGTATTTTTTATTCCCTCGAGCAAAGAAGATGTAACCAACTGGCGCGTGGCAACTGTCTGGCGTCCACCAAGATTTGCAAAATTGACGAACTCAGGGTACATCGGGGTTCAGGGGGCCTGCCTTCACTTGGGGCGGGCATACGCATGCCGCAGGGCCCTATGTCAAGGGGTAAACCCTCGCATCTTAGTCTATTTCTGCTCTGCTGTTTGAGGTTGAATTTTGCAACGTTGGGTCACCCACTACATGCTCTGCTCCCCATGAATAAACTGGAGCCTTCTTAACGATGGGCCCTGCACTGCCCACGGGTAACTCGGGACAGTGAAAGGATACTGGGTGGCTGGGATGCTTTTGGTGATTGAAAAGAAAAAGAGAAAAAAAAGAGAAAGAGTGATGTTAAAAAGAAAAAAGGAGTGTTATCCCTAATACTCTAAAGCAAAACCCGGGTCTCGCGTGACGGTCCCGCGAGAGACCCAGTTCTCTGGTGTGGCACTTAGGGGGGAGGGGCGCGGTGGGCCTAGTGGCAGGTACCTGTCGGGATGCGGTTTCGGGGGACGCGGTTTCGGGGTTCGTCGTGTCGTTTCACACCGGCACACCGAGAGGCGGTTTCGGGGCGGGGCTATTTGCGCTTTCGGTCCCGTCGAGCGGCGCGCTGGGGACCAAACAATGTTATCGGACCGTTGCTTTGCGGGGATCAACGGTGGCCGTGTGTGTGTATGTGTGTGTGTGTGTGTGTGTGTGTGGTGTGTGTGTGTGTGTGTGTGTGTGTGTGTGTGTGTGTGTGTCCTGTATATTCCCATGACGTGTCCGTCATGCACTCCACCAACACGGTGGTACGCCAGGGTCCGGTCATATCCCAACAATACCGTTTCATAGCCACCCAACTCGATGCACCTTAATGCGGAATTGACAGGATGGCTACAGTGCCCACACGAACTTTATTCCTTTGAAGCAATCAGAATATAAAAGCCCGTAAATATCCGTGTTAGAATGCAATATTAATGAGAGGATCAAAGGGAATCATTACATATTTTCGATACATGATGGGAAGGAAAAAATCAGCGTGGGCAGGGTATGATCAAGCATCAAGGTTCCAACGGGAGGCGTTTTCATGTTCAATCAGGGTTAAAGGAGGGAGTGTAGAGGGTTCTTCAAGGTTCATTTGAAAGCAAGGGGGACAGCGAAAGACGGGAAGATTTATATCAAAACCGGGGTCGAAAGTATTCAGTAGTATACAGCGTTCGGGGATACGAAAGACAAGGTTCAATTGACCTTCTTCAGGAAGGGGTATGGGCACGGGGGGGTATGATCATTAATCAAGGAAATCATCGCACTTCCATGGACCAGGTTAATCCGGGGAGATTCAATAGTATACATACAAGAGGTCAATCCAAGGCGCGTTCTGTCTTCAAACTGGGTGGGAGGGAGGGAAATGAAAAAACTAATTCCAATACAACGAAAAGATCCCATTCAGTTGAATCCAGAAGTATCCAAAATGATTCCCAAGAAAACCAACTATTCGATGAGAACTGATTCACTCAACACAGATGAAAAGAGGAATACCCACTAAAGCGAGAAGATATCTTCCAACAGAACCAAAACATATTCCATATTTTGCCAAGATGATCTAAAAAACCACAATCCTTAATATCAGATGAACCGAAAACCAATCCACGGGCTTCGCGATTAGGCTAGGCAGAACGTCTGGGAATAACGATGGGACATCGGTCGAACTTCATGGAAGGAATAACGCCGCAGGAGGGGTGTGGCTCCCCTAAAAGCTTTTTCGCCGTTGCCACTCAACCAGCTCATCAGAGGGGTTTAAACCTGCAAAACAGCACATCCATTTCACAGTCCAACACAGACAGCCATATCCCTTTCCACACACACACACAGAGGAGATTGAGGACCATGTACCGCTTCTTCCGCCGCGATATCCTCCTCAGGTTCCGGCGTGATTGGTAGGTCCTCCTCCGCTCCAGTTGTGAACTCCCAGTCTGCCATAGCCGAAGCCTGCGCCCGCTTCCAAGGTCCTGATCCACCGTACTTGCACTAGGATAGACTCCGTATAGTGCACCTGACTCATTCAGTTCTCGCACCTCAGAGATCCGCCCATCAAGTACTTGCTACTTACCAGGGATAATGATCGCTATATATACTCAAGGGAAGACCTAACAGGGTACAATCTGCCAGGGGAGGGAGATCAGTCGCATAAGCATACCCCCAACTTCAATAGTACTCGTGCGGCGGGTGTGTATCATCGAACTCCCTTACCGAGGTATGAAGGAATCAAAAACCTATCCTAGTCATCTACCCCCGGGGGATCTCTAATTAGTCGCCGCAGATACGGGAGATATCCCCGCGCCTTGGGTGACACCAAGTGGAGGGTTCCGTCCGTGCTCAAAAAGCTGAAAAACCACAACAGCGAAGGAGGAAGACAACAAGGGAGAAAAAAGGCAAGAAAGGACAAGGAGGAGGAGACAGAAAAAGACGAAAAAACGAGAAAACGAAAAAACGAAGAACGAAAATAGAAAAAAGAAAAAACGAAAAAACGAAAAAAGAAAAAAGAAAAAAGAAAAAACGAAAAAACGAAAAAAGCGAAAGAACGAGATGGGTTATCACTCAGTCCCTCGGGAAGTATCGAAGGTGGCCCGAGGTGATTGCCAGTCCGATCGATACGTCCCGGGCTCAAGGCCCATCAACCCAGTGAAAACCAGGTATCAGTCCATTCCATCCGTGGTTCTCGTGCCTGTGACTCTTCGTTCAAGTGGGAGGCAGGTATGTTCGTTTTCCCTGTGATTGTCCCTTGAGTTCCCCAATTACCTTCAAAGAGGGATCCGCTTCGATATCCCATGATCGGGAGATATCGAAGGATGATGAGGTACCATCCCGCTTAGTCCGTAGGTCCAAGGCTCGAGGCTCGTTGTTTTTCTCCATGAGAGGTGGGTTCAGGGGAATCTGGTTGGGTGCTCTCCATTCTGTTCGCTGGTGAGTCATAGACGGGTGGGTCTGTGGGCCCGTGCCTACCTGTTTTGCCGGTTCCAGGTTCGAGCTTGGTCGAAGAGCGGGGTTCCCCTTTTCGTGGTATTAGTCTGCTCGAGGTAGGTTTATAATCTT